AGATCGACAACTGATCTGCCTCACCCGGGAAGAGTGCAATGATGGTGCCAACTTGGGCCAGTGAAGCAACGTCCTCCACAACTAGACTGAAGAAAAAAAGGACAGCAACTTGTCTGTTCCCCTTCCCCGATTCCCCAAAAAGCTGTTCCCCTCCCCCAATTCCCCAATTAAAAAACAAAATCTTTAAAAAAAAATTAAAAAAAAAAAAAAAGAATTCCAGAGTGTCTCTCCTCTATACTGCACCATGTTTTAATCTGTTGACTTTTCTTCTCTACTTGGCTACTTACTTTTCTGTGGCCGAACGTGGCTGCCAAGCTCCAAAAACCACTTTCATCTGCAGGGCAGGAAGGAGGGGGAAGGGATAGAACAAGTGCCTCACATTGTTTCCCTTTAATAAGGATATCAAAACTTCCCAGAGTCCCTCCAGCTCATCGGCAGTACTCTGTTTCATGGTCACTCCAGTTGCAAGGGAATTTGAGAAAGTGAGCATATGACATTTTCAGCCTTTTTAGTAGGAAGCCTGCAAAGGAGAAAGAGGTTGGGAATGACTGTTGGGTTAACCAACTGATAGTATTTATCACAGAGCTTAAGAGCAATGGAAGATAAAATCAGACAGTGACTATCCCATGTCAAGTGGGAATTCCAAAAGAAGACGGAAACAATGGGAGAGAGACAATATTTGAAGAAATGGTGACTGAAATTTTTCCAGAAGGATGAAAGATCAAAGATTGCTAATTATTCTTAAACAGGGCAAATAAAACAAAAATATTCATTCAGACCAATCATAACAAAATGCAGAAAAACAAAGTAAAGACAGATCATCTATAAATAATTTCCATTTACCAATAAAAAAAAATACAAACTAGTAGAAAATTTTCAAAGTCTAGAATGGACAACTCACAAATGACCAATGAATGTTTAAAAAGATTTTGAGTCTTATTAGTGATCAAGAAAATCTAAATTGAAATAACAGTGACATACACTTCCATAATCCTCAAAGGATGTAGGGAATCTGAGAAATGAAAAAGTGAAAGTATAGCTATCATAGAAATTTTAATACTGTGATCAATGTTACACCAATATGTTTGAAACAGAATGGACAGTTTTCTAAAGAAATATACACTTATTTCTTCAAATATTAAACGTAAATATTTCTCCAAAACTTACTCAAAAATAAGTAGAACTTTAATCATTAAAGATGTTGAATTCGTTGTTTAAAATGGAGTCACAGACACAAACATACGAACAAAAAACCCAGTAAGTACAAATTCTACTAAACCATTAAGAAACAGATATCCCTATCATGTATATACAAGTCTAGAGAATTTAAAAAGTAATGAGGGGACTGATACCTCTGGCCAGGATGGAGTAGTAGGAACCTGAAACACTCAACAACTAACAAGTCACAACAGATAATTTACTTAAGGAATCAAAGCTGCAATAAGAACTTGTTAGATTGTATTATATACAAGAATACATTTTTCTTTGTTGTGTTATAGTTAATATTTGCTTCTTTTTAATTTAACTTTTTTTTCTAATTTTCATCTAATGTACTTTAGAAGTTAGCAAAAGCTGGGAAGTCAATGAGATCATCTTGTTGACCTAATTGTCAGAGGCAGCGATTTCATTTGTACAGATGTCTGTGAGGAGCTACTGACAGACAAAATAATTAACCTCAAAAGCATTTAGGAACGTTTATGAGCAAACATTTAACCAGTTTATGCCATCAACAAAATATAAACTTCTTGTACTATTAAATTTGCTTTTCAATATCTTGGTGTAGATTGAAAAATAATATATTTAATTACACATGATACTTTTAAAATACATCCAATCAGAACTGGCAGCAGTAATCCAAATTTTTTATCAAGTTCAATTGTTAAATTAGTCAGGAAAAATATGCACTTTATGTGTATTTAAGTAAATATAGGTTTCTGGGTGTAGCATATTAGCAAGGATGATATTTTTAAAAAGTGAAAGCTCTACAATGTTCCCCAAATTTTAGCAAGCATTCCTCTTCTGCCACAGTGTAATAGTTTTAGCCTGCTATATGACACATGTGAGCAACTCCTCGCAGAAAGAATAGATGAGAGAGGATATGTGGCATCATTTTTATTACTGTAAAAACAGCCAGAATGTGTGTCCTCCGAGAGTTGATGTGTTTTGTTTCCTGGTGAGGGGGACACTCCCACTCTGGGTCATATAGTCTGTGTAGATGTCGCTTACTGAGTAAGCCAGTGTGTCCGCCAGAACAGTTACCTCACACAGGTCACTTGTGGAGGGAGGTGATTGCCACTCAGGATTTTATGAGGCTATTGAAATGATTCCTTAGACATAACTCAGCGTGCTCTGTAGTATAAACTTTATAGAGGATACTTAAAGCGTTAATTCAAGTTTTTCATGTTTACTACATGTCAGGCATTATCTGTGTAGTGACTCAGTGGGCCTTCCCAGAAGTCCTGTGAGGTAGATGCTCCTAATAAGTGGGACAGTAAGGCACATGCAATTCAATAAAAGATGACATGGGTGGTGAGTAACAAAGGCAGGAGTCCAGGCAGGCGGGGCAGCTCCAAAGCCAGGGTGCTAGCCTCTCAGTGACCCTGTATCCAGGACAGCCTAGCCCACCTCTGGGCTCTTAGAGCAAAATTTACTCACAGTCCTATGTAATACATACTGGGTGGTGGTGTAATTTATCTGATTATAGGGTTTATCTTCATCTTTTCCTGCCCCAAGACCGTGAGCTCTCACGGGCAAGAAATCTTCTCTCTCTCTCTTTTTGTTCAATGTTTTTTATTCCCACCTGTGGTAAAATACAAATAACATGACCTAAGTGTCTGTTTCTTAGCGAATACCATGCTGTCTTGATTCATATAGCTTTATAAATCGTGAAATCTAGTCTTTCAACTTTATTCTTTTCAGAATTGTTTTGGCTGCTTTAGTACCTAGTTTATAGATTTTAGAATCAATTTGCCAATATCTGTCAGAAAAGCTTGTTGGGATTTTGAATGGGATTGTGTTGTAGCTATAGATCAGATTGGGAAGATTTGACATTGTAATGATACTCAGTCTTCCAATCCATAACCATGGAATACATCTCCATGGCTAGATTTTTAAAATCTCTACATTAGTTAGATTTTTAATTTATTTTATCAGTGGTTTGTAGTTTTCTGCATATAGATCCTGTACAGATTTCTTAGATTTATACTGTTGTTTTTTTCCTCCTCCTCTGTGTCCTCTTCTTTCACCATCTCTGCCTCCTCCTTTTTCATCTTCTTCTCCTTCCATTTTAAATGGTTTGTTTGTTTGTTACAAATCCAGTTGTTTATTGCTGGATGTATAGGAAAGCAGTTGACTTTTAGATATTGACTTTGTATTCTGAGACCTTGCTTAACTTGCATATTAGTTCCAAGAGGTTTTATTATAGACTCTTCGGAGTTTTCTACATAGACAATCATCTCATCAGTAAATGAAGACAGTTTTATTTCTTCCTGTCCAATCTGTGTGCCTGTTGTTTCTTTTTCTTGCCTTGTTGCACTAGCTAGAAATTCTGGTAGTAGTGAATAAGAGAGATGTAAGAGGACATCCTTGCTTTGTTCCTTTTTCCTGATCTTAGGGGGAAAGTTTTCAGTCTCTTACCTGTAAGTATGATGTCAACTTTTGGGTTTTGGTATATCTCCTATATTAAGTGAAAGGAATTCCCTTCTATTCCCACTTTTTTTAGAGTTTTTATCATGAATGGTTGAATTTTATGTAATTCTTTTTCTGCGTCTGTTGATATGTTTTTTTCTTATTCAGTCTGTTAACATGAATTACATTGATTGACTTATGGATGTTGAACCAGCCTTGCATTTTTAGGATGAACGTCATTTGATCATGATACAATTTGCTAATATTTGTTAAGGATTTTTGTGTCTATGTTAATGTAAGAAATTTATCTGTAGTTTTCTTGTAATGTCTTTGGCTGTTTTTGCTGTCAGGATAGTGCTGGCTTCATAGAATTAGGAAGTTGTTCCTTCCTCTTTTACTTCCTGGAAGAAATTATGTAGAATTAGTATTATTTCTTCCTTAAGTATTTTGTATCATTAACCAGTGAAACCATCTGGGCCTGGTGTTGTCTTTTTTGGAAGGTTTTTAGGTACTAATTCAAATAAATTTTATACATTATCAGATTTTTCTTAATGCAGCATACTCTGTCTTTTCCTGAAATGTGCTAAATTCTTTCTTCAAATCTGATGTTGACGATGTATCAAAACATTTTTAATTATTGTTAGGTTCAGACATGTGAGATAGTCTGAGTAAAACTGAATATTGATCATACTTGTGAATCCTCTCTGAGGTGGAAGACATCCTTCCCATCATGTAGAGGAAAGTTTGCCGTCTCTCTTCATTTGTAGGCATTCCTTCATTTCTCAGAGCTCACTTATCTCCTAAATAGCATGCTCAATTCTTGATTACTTCTTTTTTGTATTGTCATATTAACAACCCTCCTGCTATAAGAATTTTAGCTTTTCATGCATCAGTCTGTGTGCACAGCCCTGACTACAGTATTTTAAGTAGAAGGAGACTTTTTATCCTTGTATTCTGTGAAAACTGTTTCTTGGTAAATTTTTCTAAGTGTACCTGTGTGGTATGTCCCACTTATTCCTTCTCTACCCATTTCCCATGACCAGTGATATGCTGATAATCTTTTAGTATAACCAGAGAGCAAAATCGGTAAAACACACTTAGTTGTTGTTGAAACAGAGGATAAATGACTGTTTACAGGCCTTAGTCAGTTCTGTTACCACCCAGGAACAGATGTGCTAAATAAGCTCAGCCTAATTTTTCCGCTGCATTTCTGTTTCTGGCTTTACATTAGGGTCCTTTCCTACTGTTTTGTTATGACCACAAAAGAATCCAAATTCAATCCCAAGTGAATTATTAAATATGTTAAGTGGTACAAATTTCAGGAAAGCTTGACCAAGTGTCCTACATCTTGGTAGCGTACTAGCCCTGTGACCTGACACTTCCTGACCTCTCCTTTCTGCTTGCTTGTTGCCTACTAAATTGAGTGGTGGGGGGAGAGGAGCGGGTACCAAAAACATTGAATAGTGACACTTGATTCTGGTAAAACAAGTGGTTGCATTTTAAATTGGTTCAAGGTTTTTGTGGTAATCCCATTCTTGGGACTATATCTTAAGGTACTAATTCAACAGAAGGGAACAATACCACACAAAGATGCTTATTGCAGTCTTTAATATGAAGAAGTGAACACAAACTACATCAATCACTGGGAGGTGGTCATGTCAGTTATGGGACAGCAGTTCCCTTGGACTGTGTGTATCCACTAAAATGACAGCCAGTGACAGTGCAACAGTGGAAAATGGGAATGAAAAATGTTAAGTAAGAAAAGCTCAGAGCACAATAGAGTGTCCACTGTGCTAGAAGCATATGTGGGGAAACATAGGTGTACATTCAAATATAACCTAGAGAAGTGGAAATCGTTTTATGATAATTGAATTATAAGTGATTTTCTCTTTCCAAAATTTTTTTTTTAATGCTGTCATGTTGTTAAAAGATGTGCGGGGTGGGAGGTCATATCTAATGTTTTTTAAAAGGGATGGTATCTCCTGAATAAATAGGGAGAAAAAGCTTTTAAGTAATCACATTTCACACCATCTTGGTGCTGCCTACACCGCCCGTCCCAGAGGTGGGGGTGTCTAGGCAGCATAGGCCTGACCTGGATCTTAGCCCCTTTGTGGGAAAGGGCCTGTTGCATCCCCCCGTGACCTCTTCCCTTCTCCTGCAGGAGCTCAGTGAGATGCTGTACACAGACCGGCCTGACTGGCAGAGCGTGATGCAGTATGTGGCCCAGATCTACAAGTACTTTGAGACGTAAGCCCAGAGGGCCTGACAGCAGCCACTGCCACCTGCGGTTTGTCCTGGAAGCACCTGGTCACTTTTCCACAGGCCCTGCTCCGCCTGTCCACAGCTTGGCCATCTGTATTTCAAAGGAAGGTTCAATGCAGGGGGACCAACACACAAAGAAGAAACAAAGCTGGGTTCCACCATGCACCCACCTGAATCCAGATACATTTGGAGTGTAAGTTGGGGAAGCTGTGCTCTCCCGGGGCCTCTTACCTTCCAGACCCAAGAGACCCCAGTCACACCGCGTGACTTCATACTTGAGCTGCACTGAGATTCGCAACGAACAGCACTTCAAATCAGTCATCTTTTTACTAAAACTCGTGGCTTTTACCTTTATGAAAACTTTGCCCTTGCTATTCCCCACCCCCTCCAAAAACACCCAACAAAAGACATTTGCTCTCAAGCAGCCTGGAAACACATAAACCCTGCCTTTTTGGGAAATAAGCTTACATTCTAGGTAACAATTTTAACACCTAGAACTTGATTACGTTTTTTAGATCTCAACTATCACTCATTTGATTCTTTGGATGGAAGATAAAACATGTGAGAATAAAAAATGGTAGTTTGCTGCACTGTCCCTATGGATGTCCTGCAGAGAGCAGTGTGCGCCCTCCCGTGCAGCTGTCTGCTGGGACACGGTCACACACATGGCTCCCGGGGCTCAGCCAGCCCCAGAATGCAGAAAGGTAACCTCCGTAACTGTCCGCCTCCTCCACCTGCCCTCCCATTTACTCACTCGCCCATTCATACCCACACATATTTGTCCCATGTGCAGAATTGACAGTCACTCATATGTAAAATGGCCTGTGCCTGCTAGGGTCTTTGGGTATTTGCACAATGAAACAGGCTGATAATGTGTATTTGTTAGGATACTAGGGAGACAGCAAATTTAAACAACACTTCAACTTTAGATTTAGTTTTTAGTACCTGGTGAGGCCTTTCATGTTCGCATGGCTAAATGAAGCCCTCGGATGGGCAGAGATGGGTCTGTTTATAATTGAACAAAGGAAAATTCTGTTTTTCTGCTATCCTGCGGTCACCCTAAGCAGCAGCAGAGCCCGCCCGGAGTGGCCCCGGTCACCTTGGAAGTACTCTGTGCAGGTAACCCCCTGGTGGCTCTTTGATATTCTTGTCTGGCGAATAAAGGTGCATGGCATAGCAAAGGGGGTGCGGTTCACACAGGTGAATCTGAGGTGACTTCGTCAGTGTCCATCCCTTGCTGATGTAGGTGCCCATAGCTCTGTGTTACTGCCCCTCAGACAAAGGGTCATTCTTACCATACATCACTGAGAGCTACATTACGGCTTCCATTGCTTAAAGAAGATGGCTGGCTGGTCCATCTTCTGATGGCTGGTCAGGGCCCTTGTTCACAGGTGGGGGCCTAGCGGCTATGAGCTGGCCCTCACTCCAGGCCAACTGTGTGGAGCTGGCCGCTGTGCCCTGCGGGCCCATCCATCCTCAGGCTGCCGTGGCTGCCCTGTCGGCAGTCCTCCTCTGTGGCTCTACATCAGAATCTCCTGGGGAGCTGGTTAAAAACTCACACTGCCTGCCTGCCCCATCAGTGGAATCCAGATATCTGGGATGGGACCAGGGGTGCGTTCTCTATTGTCAGAGTTGCCGAGATCCACTGAGGAGCGAGCAGCAGCCATCAGCCCGCAGGGCATGGCAGGGAGCTCTGAGCAGTGGTGATGGCGATTTCATATCTGGCCCTTTGTTCTCAGTTGGGAGGTGGAGGCACAGTCTGAACAAATTCACCTCACTCTTTCCTGATGAACAATTGAAAGTTACTACTTGTATTGTTTCTTGCATCTCTTTTGTTGACATAACTGATTCACTTTCATTTTCTTCTCCTGTGCTTCTGCCTTGCTCACCTTTACAGTGGGGGGAAGTGACATGCCCAGTAATTGGGTTGGGCTGTTGGTTGTTGTGTTTAAGCTGGGATTATACAGGGCTTTGTGTGGGAGAGGCACTGAGATCTTGGGATACCTGGAGGGGGTATTACTGGCGCCCTGTTTGGGTGATTACCCTAAATGATGCAATGTGAGCTCTGTGCTGGAGCCTGTACCCTTCGGGTTAAAAAGAAGGAAAGAAATGTCATATGAAAGAAAGGCCATGAGACAATTTTTATAATTCAAGGAAGTTCCTTGACTACCATTTTCTTTGCCAGCGGGCATGCATGGAGAGGAAGTGTGTGTGCTATTCAGAGAAACACAGGTTTGTCTGGCCCTGTGGGGTCCTGGGACGGGGACTGAGGGCAGCTCGGGAGTGAGGTCAGACCTTCCAGCACTGCAGGGCCTGGGGGGATGCTGTGCCAACCCAGGCGGGGCCACACCGTGGGCGTTTAGATCCATTTTTAACTGGAGAGGTCAGAGCACACGGTGAATGTGGAAAATTGATGAACTTAGAAAACAAGGTAGCATCAACAAGTTGTGTCATTCCCAGTTTCCTGTCCTGAAGTTTTCAGAAGCTACAATATCCATGTTTCTTCCCATCTTCCTTCATCCAGTAGTCAGTCATTTAAAATTATATGTTTGTTCTGCAGATCCTTTTTCTTTAATGTATTATTTTTATTACATAAAAAACCTGTGCAAAGTACAAGATGCAGAACAGTGGAGGAGTTTTTAAAAGACATAAAGAGACATGGTTCTTTGCATTGTGAATTGTTTCATGGACTTGAAATTTAATCAATAGATAATTCTGCCATGGCCCCTGTCCCACTGGGTTAGCATTTCTGAGGAACCGGGCACATTCACACTTCTCTCGTCCTCATCCCTTCTCACCTCAGAAATGACGTTAGCCTTTGGTTTTTGTTCTTCATTCTGTTGTTTTATAGCTTTGGTTGAGACCATCCAAAGTAGATGCCGCAGATGTTACACAAAACACACTTCCCGAAGTGAGCAGCCACCTGGCATGACAAATGTCTGTGATGTTCTCTTTCCCGCAGAAAGATTGGCAGGACTCTCTCAATCTCCCGCTCCCACTTCCCCACTGAGGGGAGGGCAGGCATTTCACTGGAATGTGGACATAGAGGACCTGGGTCAGTAAACACAAACCCACTTGCCAAATCCAGCAGTAGTTCTTCCCATTCCAAAGCCTGAGTGCCATTTTGAGATGAACTACCAATGACATGCAGTAAAGAATGTAACCTAGCAACCTTTTTAAGAGTATTTTTAATATTTCAGTTGCCCAGGTTCCCTGGATGTTTCACTTCTCTGATTCGGGTTAGAGTTGGCTGGCCTATCCTGAGTAGCTACTAACTTTAACTACACTAGTCGAATGCAATTGATACACCTGTAGCGTCATTTCTGTACAGAGTACACCAGAGTACCGAGCATTGTCAGGACGTGACGTGCCAACAGAGCTGTACTGAACTATGAACACGATAGTGTATGATGTATGACTATGTAAGATTTCTAATAAATATATTTTGGTTCTATCTGATTATGAATTTCTCCCCGTGACATTTATGAATATTGTCTCAAAGTGCCAAGTTTACGTTCAGTGTTTTCAAACCAGCATCTTCATGTCCTCATTCCTTGTTGGACTGTGATCCCCACTGCGGCTGCTATTGGCTGGCATTGCTGGAAGTTACCGGCAACAACTGAGGTCCAGTCCTGATGGCTTCTCTGTCTCCTCCCTTTCGCAGCCCTCTTGCTGTGACTATGGTCTCCTATGAAAATCGCCCTTCAGGTCCCATACAGGGTGCTGCAGAGCTGTTCACATGTGCACACGGCAGACGCCCATGCCTCAGGCTACCTTCACTCAGCATGTGTACTGTGACTGAATTCTGAGGTCCTGGAAACCACATGCTAGGTGGTGGTGAGCAGGAGGTGAGTATGCCAAGATCGAGGAGGCAGAGTTAATAGGAACTTTAACAGACAGGGGATGCAAGTGTGTCCTGACACCAGTGTGTTGTACATGCTGTTCAGGTATCACTCGGAGGTCAATGTCACTGATGTCTTAGGCAACCAGCGCTGCCCACAGGAAAGGGCAAAGGAGGCTGCCCACCCTAGAATTTTCATTTCCTCCTCCTCCTTCCAGGGAAGCTCCATTGTCACTGGTCTTTTTCTCCTGAGGGACTCTCCATCTTCTCAGAATGGCACAATCTCTGATAAGAGCCTAACACATGCTGAGCCGGGGTACCCGCCACCACTCACTTTCCTCTGTGGACAGTCAGGTGACAGGACTGCACCCACGAGGCACTGGGTTTTGTTGGTTCAACATCCGATTACCTGAAGCCATGTTCAGCTGCTCAGTCTGCACACATGCATATGCACACATGTACACACACGCATACACACGGACATTTGATGAACAGCCAGTGTCTCTGCTCTTGCAAATCGATCCCTTCCAGAGTTTCCCGTTGTTTGGGGCCCATCAGGGAGGTCCGTGTTCTGCGGGCCTGGGCCCCTCTGTGCGTGAAGCACATCCCCAGACATTTCATTTGTGTCCTATGTAATTGTCACGGCCCAAACATGTTGAATCAGGTACCAGCAAGAGGTTCCCAATGGAGCCTGATGCACCGTGAGTGGTCGCTGTGGCATCTGTTGTCACGAGGTCTGAGGTCAGTGACTCCCTGCTGTCACAGAGGACTGGGAACTAACTGCAGGCCATGGCCTCCACCCACCCAGGCGCCATGAGCACACAGCCGACTCCCCCTTCTCCTAGCACGTGGGGTGCTGCTGCTGTTCCCACACCACGCTTCACTCCGCTCCCTGAAGGCAGAGCCACATACTCATTTGCTCAACGACACCTCAACCTCCTGCGAAATTGTTGCTGGATACATAATTTTTGCTTAATTGGTGGAAACATCCAGCTACCACAGACTCTCGTTCCAACTTGGAATTTCCCACTGAACTCTGAGGAACAGACGCCTCAGCATCCAGCCTGGTCTCACTGCTGAGGTCAGGCTTGTGAACAGTCATTTCCAGCATTTTCCAGCTTGATGGTAAAAAGCCCAGAAAGACCCCTGGGAGAAACTTAAAACCTGATTGCCTGAAAATCTTCGTCATTTTTCCTTCTGTCGTTGTTAACATTACTTGTGTGAGTAAAATGACACAATGTGTTTCTGAGCAGAACCTCAGTTTCGGCCTCCCAAACTCTTTAAATGAGTTCAGTCTAACCTAACTCACCTGCCCTATCAAAACCTCAGTGAGATTTTTCTAGATTATGAAAAATAAGCCATAAAAAATTTGACCTGGACATCTAGTAGGGTTGGCCAAGGAGCCCTGTCACCCCTCCCACTCATCCATCTGGGTTACTGTTTATATCATTCCTTAAGCTGCTGTATCATTATTCTTGTATCAGAAAAATGAAGTAAAACAGAAAAGGGAACATGGGAAAACCACAGCCTTTCTTTATGGTTGCCATGTGACCTCAGGAGGCTTGGCCATCTTTTGAGAAGTCTTATCCTAGAAAACACATCTGGCAGGATCAAGGCAGAGTCTCAGACCTTCTTGGACTGGTAGGACCTCGCTGGGCTCTTCCCAATTGCCACGAACAGACCCAGACAGTTCCACGCATGGGGGTGCTCGTGGTAGAGGAAGACAAGTCATACTCAGTCCTGGGGAGGCATTTTGAACTCACATTTAACTCCCACAGTCAATCACTTAGGTTTGCAGAAAAAAATAGTTAAAAACAATGTATGACTATGGCCACCTGCCATTCCAACCCATGACCTTGTGCCCCAGAGCAAGCATGAAGTGGACATGTGTTTTTCCCTCCAACTGCCTCATTCCTATGGGTCAATCATTGTGTGAATGTCCTATGACACTGAAATCATGCTTGAAACACATGAGTTCAGTGTTTAAGGCTATGTTTGTTTGTTTGGGGTACAATATGGCTTCTAACCGCAAGCCAACTACTTCACCTCTCCCTGGAGGAAACCTTGATCATGTTGGGCTCATTCGAGAGAGAATTTGTAGATGTTCAAGATGGTGTCTTTTTAAGGAGTTTTTAAGGGTAACTGTGACAAGAGATTTCCAACTTCCACACTGATTTCAGATCCTAACTCCTTAAAGAGAGGCACCTCTCAAAGTTCAGGTCTGTTGGAGCCCAAGGGAGCACTTTTTTGGTGCCCCCTCCCAAGGCCGGGGTCGGGGCCCTCCCTCCAGTGCTGCACTCCTAAATGCCTGTGCTACACTATTGTATTAGTCTCGTGTTGCCGCTGTAATAAATGACCACACACTTAGTTGGCTTTGAACAACACAGATGGATTATCTTACAGTTTGAGGCCAGGAGTCTAACACTCATCTCACTGGGTTAAAATCAAGGTGTCGGCAGACCTGAATTCCTTTCTGGAGGCTCCAGGGGTGAATCCATTTCACTGACTTTGTCAGCTTCTTGAGGTCATCCCCCTTTCCTTGGCTCATGGCCCCTTTCCTTGGCTCATCTTCAAAGCCAGCACTGTTGCATGACTCTGGCCATTCTTCTGCAGTCACATGTCACTCTGGTTCTCTGCAGCTGGGAAGAGCTCTCTGATTTCAAGACCCATGTGATTAGATTGGGCCATCTGGGTAATCAGGCTTTTCTCCCCATCTCAAGGCCCATACCATTCGTTTCAGCTGCAGGGTCTCTTTTGCTATGAAAGGGAACCTATTCAGAGGTTCCAGGGAGTAGGGAGTGGACATCTTTGGGGGCCGTTATTCTACCCACCACAGTCATCTCTTCTGTGTCCTCCCATTAACAATGGAATCTTCCTATAGCCTAGTTATAATTACCAAGCTAAGGAATCAGATTGGCTTGCCATTGGGCCTCCCCATCCTGCCTGTTTGGATACTGTTTTTCATACGAGATCCTTTCACAAGTCATTAACCAGCCTATGGTTATCGGCCCTTTGTTGTTGCCTGACAGCCGAATTCTATGAACACTACCCCC